AGATATTGTCATTTTTTTAGACATTGATTCTTAGATTTGAGATAATTAAGATAAATCTACGTGAACAATAGAATGAATCTAGGATGGTGATGTTCTAACCTGCCTACCTTAGAGATAAGGAGAGGGTTTCAATCGACTAAAAGGGATAGATGCTAAAGTAGGATAAATAACGATTATAGTTCTCGCTGAGAGGTATTGCTACAACAACAGTTTGTCAAACCAAGGGTTGTAGTTAACGCTGAGTAGTATTGTCATAACAATCGTCTAAGAATACTTGGTAATCCTGTCGGGCAGCTTAAGCATATCATAACAAATCATTCCAGACTTAGAATAATTGTTTGTCATAGCAAAAGACTAACATGAGTGCTCTGTGAAAAGTCTGAATATGTGAGGTTGTTTTGAATATATTTAAATCAACGACTGTCTTTGCCTTACTTATTTTAATTTGGTAGTTTTGCATATTTACTTTTCCTCGACCAAACTTTTCTATAAGAATAGTTTATAATATTTTCTTTCTTTATTTTGTTTAATCCATTACTAATAGTTTTCTAGTTTGACGAGACTTCAGGAAGGAAGTAGCTCGTGACAACTAGTTCTAGTTGGGGTGAAACTTGAAAAGGCCTACCATTCCCTGAGGAGACGATAACTCACTTACCCTTTATTACTTGATTCGACTGTGTATATTTACACAAATTTTCTTTCCTTGGCATATACATTTCCAAACGATCAAGTATCGATGTCTAGTCAAGCTATTTTACTCCTCTTGAGTACTCCAGACTTGTCTGGGTCACTTAGCATCAGTACAACTTTTAACTAGCATTTTAAGTGCCTAATCACTAGTTTGGATATATCTGGATAATCTTCATTCTATCACACTAACGTCATTCAAGTAACTCGAGTGTCCTCGTCGTTTCTAGAGTATAAAACAAAGGCATAAGTCTTATGGAATCTTACCTCATTAAGATCTTATGTTATCAAGCAATTTATTAAGGTTTTCAACTGTATTCTTAATATAGTATTTACCATTTCATAAAAAAACCCAACCTCCTCTCTCTTGTTCAAACTAAGCTTATTGTCTAAACATTTACACGAGTATTGATACTCTCCCTTGAGTATCTATACTCACCTTTCGATGGTATCGCTATCGTCTTGAGTATCGATACAAAAATTGCCTTCGATGTTTAAAAAATTGTTTTGGTATCGATACTCCCATGAGTATCAACACCAAAATTACTTTCAATTTTTTGAGAAAAAACATCAGTATTGATACCCTTACTAGGAGTTTTAATACTCCACACTTGGTATCGATACTCCTTTGAGTATCGATACCAAAATTGTATACTAGAATCCAATCTGGGTCCCCGAGTATCGATACTGGCTCCCGAGTATCGATGTCACATTAGTAGTATTGATACTTCTTGATGGAGTATTGATACTTCTTGATGGAGTATCGATACTCTCCTCATAATCTCTTTGAATTTTGCCCTCTCACGACAGACATTATCACTCCTAGGTTATTCCAATGCCCCCAAATAGTGTTTAAAACTTATGTATAGTTAAAGGGTCATGAACATGAATAACACTAAATCCTCGTTTTCATTATTTGAACCTCCAACTGCACACAATAGCTCATACACACATACAAGCATCATTTCTATACATGTTGATCTACAAGAACTAAGGAGAGGTTAGAAGTGTGTTACCTTGCACCTAGAACATGAAAACTCAACTCAAGGTTCAACCAAGCACCACCTTTTCTTTTTCACTTACCTTTGGAGTTTTTACCCACTCCTCTCACTAAAATAAGCAATGGATTTGAGTTATTAGCTCTCTTGAGGGCTTAGGAACGTTAGGAATATGACTCTTAAGGTTTAGGAACATTTTAAAGCCACCTACAAGCTCTATAAAACAAAACCCCCTTAAACCCAACTATGGCCATAATGGCCAAACTCTAAGATTGTGATCTTAAAATGAAGCTTTAGGGAAGGAGGTTGTTAATCTTACCTTCAAAATCTTGGATAAAGGCTAAGGAGTGGTAAAGTTATAACATTTGTTGGATGGAAATTGAGAAGATAATAGAAGAGAGAAAGATGAAGGGGAAGAAGACAAGAAAATGTTTCATCTTCCCAATGTGTGACCTAGTTCACATAAATGAGGATCAACTTTTGTTTTCAAACAATGGGAAATTTACTCTTTTGGTCATTCCTATTGTGTCATCTATTAAAAATATCTCTTTTATTCACATTTGGGCCCAACACAAGCCCAAATTACTCTATAAATAGGGCAAGGTCTCTCCCAAGCCTAATAGGTTTATTTTAATCTCTTTCAGGTTAATCGAAACTACCAACCCAAGGATCAGGGTATTACATGTAATTTTTAGGGTATAAATTACCCAATGCACTTTTATATGATACTTTGATATATTAGTATCTACAGATACTCCTGATAAATGAATGATATATGATTTTGATATAAAAGTCTATTGTATGTGCTTTGAGAGTTTTTAGTATAATTGGCCTGTTAAGAAGTGGAGTGATCACTGATTCAAGTGATTTTGTGCTAGTACATTCGTGTACTCCTGGCACTACATGTGCATTATATGTGAGACATGATACATTTTATGGCACGTATGTGATATTAGTGCTTGCACGTATGTAATGATGGTACTATGTATTCCTGATTTATAGATACATTGATATTGTGTTCTACAGTACTTGTGCATTATATGTGACATGGGATACATTTTATGGCATGTATGTGGTATTGGTGCCTACACGTATGTGATGATGGTGTGATGTATTCCTAATTACTAGTATAGAGATGTTGTGTTCTACAGTACCTATGCTCCTATTTAGCACTTAAAGTGCATATTATCTACGTGGTAGTTAAACTGCACAGCGCGCACACTTGTATATGTCTCACATACCATGCATTCTCATTTGATATTGGGATATTGTTTAAATGAAATGAAACTAAAAAGTGCATGTGATCGATTCAATTGAAAGTAAATATTTCATTGATTACTCTGATTTGGTTACATGTGATATATGTGTGTGTGAACTATTGTTTTACAAGTTTGATAAGAAAAGGATTTTTAGAAGTCTGCTTTACATGTTTATATGTTTTTATATAATATTTTCTTCATTATGGTTTATATGATACTTTCTATATCGATATATTTTACTTTATATATGATAACGTCTCACTAAGTGTATACTTAGCGTGTGATGATTTTCACGCGTAGGTAAAGGAAAGCGAGTGAACTAATGAGCTAAGCTTTGCATCATTTATTGAGGACTACCTACATGTATCAATAATGACATCATACTGTTATTTTGATTTATAGTTAGCATGTATACGTATAATAAGTGTTTGTAATATTTTAATATGGTTATATTTTGAAATGGGTTCAATTTGTCAATTTATGACAAAATTGTAATATGACGTTATGTATATCGTCACAAAACATACTATAATGTGACATTTTTTTATTTTCGTCATATTTATTGATTAATGGTATATCTTTTATGACAATTTTAAAAATGGTCATTGATTTTTGTCACTATATGTTTGGCGCCAAACTCTTCCCACCAAATATTTTGGTGGGAAACCTTTTAATGACATTTAGATAAAATAATGACGTTGTAAAATCGTCTCCATTGAAAAACTGGTATTAGTGACGGTTTATTATAATGACGATTCAATTTGAATTAGTGGCGTTGCACATTTGTCACTAATAAGTTTTTATTCGTGACAATTTAATTTGTCATATTATAAACACTAAAAGTGACATTTTATTACTGTCACAAAAAAAGTTTTAGCACGACAAAATCAATTATTTGTCACTTGTTTTTATCTCTTTTTTGTATGACGATATTAAAAGATGTCATGAAATTATGTCACTTAATGTTAAAAAATAAGATAATCTAACAACCTTAATAAATAATGCAATTTATAGAGTTTTTTGTGTTTTTCATTTTATTGACATTATTCTATATTAGATTATCTCACATTCAAAGTTTTTTTAGAGTAAATCGTAAAAAAGAAATGACCAGATGATTTTTTTATATATTATTATGTTTCTATGATTTCCATGATGTTACATCAAAGTGTTTAGGAAAAAATATATATTTATACTTGATCATAGAAATACCCATAAAGTTTTAGTATTTTTAGATACATATAACATCAATAATTTTAAAATAAAAAATATTACTCTTTTATATAAAAAAAAAACTAATATTTAGAATGGTATTGTGAGAGAGGTGACTTACTTGATGAAATAGGAATTAGGGATTGCTAAATTTGAAGTTAGCTTTCTTATTCTGTTTGGAGAAGCTTTACACGTGAACCCATTATTTTTTAAGTTTAGGAATTGCAACTTTTTTTTAATAATAATAAATTCTTTAATATTCAATCCAAAAAATTCTTTAAAATATATTAAAATTATCTAATATATATTAAAAGACATTTTCTTTTAAAAATACATATAAATAAATATATTTATCTAAATTATTTAAATTGAATATTCTTTATTTTTAATAACTATTTAAAATTATTTAAATTATTTTTAATTTATCTAAATTTTCTATATTTTTCTAATTTTTAATAATTTTGTTTAGATATATTGGAGGTAATTTTTCAACATCCCTCCAAATAAAATTTACCTTCCCTCTAACAAAATTAAATATTCCTTATTCATAGCAGGATTTTTTCTCATTCATAATGACTCATTATTGCTTTCCTTATTCATTGATTTTCATTTTATAAAAGTATTTGTGTATTTGATTTCCTTTAGGGCTAAGAATACTATCATAAACAAGTAGGTCAAATAAGAAAATTATTTTATATATTTTATATTGAGATAATTTTGCTTTATAATTTTATTATTTTTATAATTATTTTCTACGACCCATGTCATCTACCGAACAATTCTGGCTGGCCTCTCCGCAACTTCCTTGCACTTATTTCTTCCAGATGGAATCTGAAAACTGTTCTATTTTTGTGTTATAGAGAGAATCAAGGTTTTGCTGATTAGAATTTGTCACTTGTTGGTGAAGCCTTGATTTCGGTTCAACCAAGTAGAGTGGCACAAATTTTGGGTAATAGCTTATTTTTTGGATCAATTTTTAGCTGTTCTAATAATATGAAGCTCAACAAGTTTGGCATCGACGATTCACCTATTCCTATCTCCGGTACTACTCCCTCTCAGTCCCTACTCATTTTCGTTCTTCAAGTAAGAAATAAACTTCTCACTCTTAATTCTCTAAAAAAATCTGATTTATTTTGCTAAATTTTCGTTTTTGTCTTCTTAAATTCATTACATTGGACTGGGTTGATCCAAGATTCTGTTGTTAAAGTTCGCAATTAATGCAAAAGGTTTTCAATTTGGAACCCTAGAGTGTAAATTTGGCGATTTATGGTCCGAATTCGTTATCGTTTTTCCCTTCAGGTTTCTATGCACCGTGCTCCCACCCTCAAGTATCCAGTCATTTAACTCTTCTTGCCGAATCCCTGCCGTCTGATTCAAATGATGAATCAGTAGTGTCGCCTATTATTAGGAGTAATCGGAATAGGTGCTCCGTTCCGGGCATTCTTTACAATACAAATACAATGGAAAGTTTCCAGGCTTTGGATAAACAAGGCCTTTTCAAGGCAGAAGCGATGAAGGTAAAACAGTTTGAATTGTCTACTAAGGACGGACGATAGAGTGTGTTATGCAGTTGGTTTAATTCAATTGAAATCTTGGTTGAGAAGTTATTGTTGTATGTCAATTACTCTTAGATTTGGGAGGATATTCATAGTGGGAAAGCTGTGGAGGATTGTGCCGCATTGTCAAGGTTCCTTCTTATCTCATTTGCAGACCTGAAAAAATGGAACTTTCATTATTGGTTTGCTTTCCCTGCTCTCGCACTTGATCCTCCTGCTACCTTGGTTGATTTGAGGCCAGCTTCTCAGTGGTTCACCTTGGAAGAGGTGCTTAGAATGTGGTTAACACTTGCAAATTGTTGGATTATCGCATCTTTTTGAGTGCTCAAAAGGTTTCTATTTGTTACTTTTGTACATGCAGGCAGAATCCGTGTCAGCAGCATGTAATGAATGGAGGAATTCAAGTGCAACAGCTGGTAGCCTTTCTGCTGTTGCAAGTTTTCTACTTCTTTTTATCTTACTGCATTGAAATTCAAATGTGATTATGTTCCTTTTTTTTTTATCCATAATTTTATGCCCTTCCCAGCCTTATTTATGAGTCTACTGCAGATGTTCCATTCTTTTTGGTTAGTATTGGTTCTGATTCAAGTGCTGCTGCCAGGCATCTTAAGGATTCGGAAGCTTGTCAGCATGATGGTCAAAAGGTATGTCTAGCTTGCGCTTCATGAGTTTTTGGAATATGTATTTGTTTGTGATTCCAAAGGAGAGTTTTAATAAAAATTCTATATGATATATGATATATGATGTCAATAGGCTAAAAGTGCAAAATCTTGGACATCTCTTTCTCAAAGCTTTCATATGTGTTATTGGCAGTTACTATTTGCATTTTATGACCCATGTCATCTACCGAACAATCCTGGCTGGCCTCTCCGCAACTTCCTTGCACTTATTTCTTCCAGATGGAATCTGAAAACTGTTTGCTTTTTGTGCTATAGAGAGAATCGAGGTTTTGCTGATTTGAATTTGTCACTTGTTGGTGAAGCCTTAGTTTCGGTTCAACCAGGTAGAGTGGCACAAATTTTGGGTAACAGCTTATTTTTTGGATAATTTTTAGCTGTTCTAATAATATGAATTCATCCTACACTATCTTTCTTGTAACACCCATAACCCATACAATTATACCTATACAGATTATAGATGTCACTCGAATTTCTAAAATCATTTTCACTTCAAAAGTGATTTAAAATTTTATTTCTTTAAAAATGGTAAATGATATTATAAAAATATCATATCATATGAATTATAATTCTTTATAAAAAAATTTAAGACAAAATATGTATTTATGAACAGTACCGTGAACAGTACGTAAACAGTGTACTGATGCATAAAAACTTCGAATCAAAAATGTGTATCGATGCATTGCTATAGTATTTTTCCGAAAATACATATTAATTCATAAAAAATTAACCTTTCATCATATAAAGTTACCATTGTTTTTCCAAATTTGTTCAACAAAACAAATTTAACATTATTAATTACACGTCACTATCTAAGTCAAATTCCATCATAGGATGTCTTACTGATATTGAAATATACTCCTCGATGCTTGATGTCGTTCCGAACTCTTTATTATACTACTGGTTTTTTACCTACGCCTGAAAATCATCACACGCTGAGTATAAACTTAGTGAGACAATTAAAACAATAACAATGCAATACAACTCATGCATGAATTTCATTATAAAAACCAAACACCTTAAAATCATATTACTAGCATATCCAATATTTTTCCATGATCAAAATAAGATAAAATCTCTTATCATTTATCCCATAAGCTCGGAAGCTTATTATACCAATATACTTACCATTTAATATCATAAGCTTTAAGTTATTTTACCAATATACTTACCATTTAATCTCATAAGCTCGTAAGCTTTTTTTACCAATATATTTACCATTTAATATCATAAGCTCGTAAGCTTATTTTACCAATATACTTACTATTTAATCTCATAAGCTCGTAAGCTTATTTTACCAATATACTTGCCATTATTCCATAAGCTCGTTAGCTTATTTGCCACTTTATCATTTATTAACCAATAAACCATAAATCATAACCCATAGTATAACTGTATGAGGAACCCGGTATAGGAGTCAATTGTTGCACCGAAGTGCTGAGGTCGAGCTTTGCTCACCTAATAATGCACCGTAGTGCTGAGGTCGGGATTTACCCACCTAGTACGCCATAGTGTTTTGTACCGTGTCTTCACTAGACACTAAGGCCTGCACTATGTGCCTTCTCTAGACACTCTAGTTCTACCTAATATGCAGTTGTTAGACTCTATGGCATGTCATTAATACCACTGAACCTCAATAACATACTTGGGCATATAGTCAATTTTATTTGATCCATCCATGTCAAAGTATATCAATATCATTTAACATTAGGCAATTCATACCCACAGTATTATTCGTGATAAAAATCATATATGTTCATGATAACATCATATGCAACAATCAGTGATCAATGCATTTTATAATCAACCTTTGACATATTTAGAATATATCAAATATATGATAAATGACATAAATATCATGTCAACATAAACAAGGTCGACTTATCGCAAGTCTTCCTGATGATGTATAAAACATCCGTGTATAATTTTATGCATATATTGCACTCACCTTGACACTTTATAATTTTCCAAATATGTGCCTCACTATTGTCCACGATAAACCCTTTTTATACTTGACTTGCTTCAATCGCAAATCAATCATGATCTGTATAAATCAAAAATTCATAATAATACATATGTTAGTATTGTACTAACATAAACATATCCCAAAATAACTCCATAATCTTACTTGAACTATTCACCACCAAATACTTTAACACTTATTAATTCTTTTTAATATTGGAACCAACTTTTCCAATTTACATAAAATGGTCTCTTACCATTTAACTTCAATTTCAATCATCCAAAAATATATTCAACATTTAAACATTACTCTTCATCTTCTAATCCCTTTCCACTTAAATTCTAAAATTTCCATATTCAGACAATTCGCACTACTTTTAAAGAATCAATATTCTGTATTGATATACATACTGGAATTCAATTCCGTTTCTTCCGTTGAAAACTAGACTTGAATACGAATCTATCCATATAAAGAACTCCTTCTAATTCATTCTGTACAATTTATGGTGAATTTTGAAAGTTGACCAACAGAATCTGTTTTGCAGAATCTGCTGTCCGATTTTTTTCTGACCTTTCCTTGGTTAAAAATTCATATCTTTTTGTATACACCTTGAAATTGATTCCCGTTTATTTTAAACCTAACTAAATCGGTATATGAACACAATATATAAAAATAACCTCCAAATTATTTTTATATAAATTCTGGTGAATTTTCAAACCCACTGTCAATCTCAAAATCTAAACTATTTTCTTAAATTTCATCCTTAGGTTCTTCGTCAATTCTTACAACCAATTCTTTAAAATCACTACTCTTCATAACCCATAAAACACAAGAAATCAACATCCCCTTCATCAACTCAAGATGAACTTGAACACTAACAATATTATCATGCAATATTGGTACCAAATGATAGCGTTTTCGCATATAACATTTTTCTATTTTCAGCATACTCAAAATCCTAAGGAAATTGCTTGAAAATTGAATTGAAGCTTTCTCTTACCTTAGGAGAAAACCCACTCAACTTTGGAGAAGAAGATAGCAAATTTGAATGAAATGTTGGGTGCATTTCATCTTAATTTACATTATATTCCACTATAAATGAATATAATATTCATTTAATTGAGACAAGACCAAATCACCTTTAATGAATCTTCTTATTCACCATAAAACCATGACAACCCATCCTTATCATATTTCAAAGTCAAAGCTGAATTATTTTGACTTTCATTTCTGAAATTTCCCCTGAATTGTTCAAATCTTGTGTTTTAGTCACTAAATTCCACTGTTTCGGTTAAATCTGAAAAAATGCACATATCCATACCAAATTTCTCTGATATAAAATATTAAAATAATATTTCCAACCATTTTATAACATCTTTCAAATTTTTGTAAAATTCCAATTTGATCCAAATTACCGATTCCGTATCAGACTTTAACTCTTTCTAATTTTTTTTTACTAAAATTCCAAATCCAAAAATATGATTTCTATAAAACTCCACTCTCAAGAGTAATCTATCTATTTATAGAATGAAATTCTTTTTAGGAAATTTCTCACTTAATTCCCTAAATTTTTCCAAGTTTTATACTTTGGCCATCAAACTTCTAAAATTTTCTTTTTGTTCATTATCTAAATTTTTGGGATATTACATTTCTCCCCTCCTTAAGAAAATTCATCCTCGAGTTTTTCTATGAAAAGCCTAACTCCCCTTTTATAAGGATTGCACTTTCCATTGTAAATTCATAACCCTAATTTAAGGTTATACGAACTGGTAAGATGTGCCCATACCTTAACTGTAGACTTTTTTTCCAATAGTTCAGTATAAATAATTTGAGACCACGCCTCTTTTTTTTTAAAAAAATCTCTTCTCGGCTTGCCAAGTTCTTGAATTCCAATTTTCCTCTTTAATTTGAGGATTTTGTGAAGATCATGCAAATCATTAGATTTAGAAACTATTTAATCCAAATCTTCAACTTGATATGAAAATATCTACACATTTTCATATCATCTTCTGTTTCCCAAGTAATGTCTTCGACATTTTGATTTTGCTAAATCACTTTGACTAAAGAAATCATCTTGTTCGCAGCTCTTTGATTTCTCGAGCTAAGATCCATATTGGTTCTTCTTTATAAGTCAAATCTGGTCGGATCTTAATTTCCTCTGATGCAATGACATGTGAAAGATCCAATCGATCCTTTCTAAGCATCGACACATGAAAAATATTGTGTACTTTGTCCAACTCTGGTTCTCAATTACCTCCAGAGTTAATGTTAACTGATAAGTCATCAATATAACTCTTTTTAATATCTCATAAGGTCCAATGAATCTTATACTTAGTTTTCCTTTATGCCCAAAACACAAATTTTTTCCAAGGTGATACTTTAAGAAAAACTTTATCATCTTCATAAAATTCAATCTCTTTTCACTTCTAGTCTACATAAGACTTTTGCCGATCAAATATCATCTTGAGATTATCTTTACTTTATCCTCAACTTCTTTCAATAAATTTGGGCCAACAAGATTTCGATCTTTTAACTCGAACCCATTCAATGGTGTTCGACATTTTCTCCCATATAAAGCTGCATACAGAGCCATCTTGTTGCTCAATTGATAACTGTTATTGTAGATAAATTCTACTAAAAACAAATATTTTTCCCATGATTCCTTGGAATCAATCAAACATGCTCTCAACATTTCTTCTAATATCTAAATAGTACTTTTTAACTTACCATCCGACTATGGATGAAAGATCGTACATAAATTCAATCAAGTACCCAAAACTTTATGCAAATATTTCCAAAATCTTTAAAATGAACTTTGGATTCCTGTCGGATATAATGGATACTTATACTCCTTGTAATCAAACTATCTCATTGATATATAACTCTGTATATTTATCCAATGCATAGTCCATTTGCATCAAAATAAAATGTGTCGATTTAATTAACCGGTCACTATCACCTAAATGGAATCCTTTTTATTTGATATCAAAGGTAGTCCATTAACAAAATCCATAGTGACTTTTTACCACTTCCACTCTGGAATAAAAAACAGTTGTAACAATTATGAAAGCACTTGATATTCAGCTTTTACTTGTTGACATGTCAAACATGTAGCAACAACTCAGTAATGTTTCTTTTCATACTTGGCCACCAAAATGACTCTTTACATCTTGCTACATTTTTCCCACCTGAATGTATAGTCAGTGGACTATAATATACCCGAGAAAGAATATCTTTCTTCAACTCATCATTATGAGGAATACAAATTTTTACTCGATAAAATAGACACCCATCAAAGTTGACTTCAAAGTCTTTAGTCTCATTTTTTTCTTTCTTTTCTTTTTCTTTTTCTTTTTCTTTTTCTTTTTCTTTTTCTTTTTCTTTTTCTTCTTTTTTTCTGTTTCTTTTTTTCTTATATAATATTTTTTTAGCTCTTATGCCATCTGTCAAGACAACATGACTAAGA